AGTTGGCGTTACTGGTAACAAGGAGACACATAAGCGCAAGGGTCTTACCGTCCTGTCAGCGAGAGAGCGTGCTGAGAGTGTGCGCCATTGCAAATGGGTCGACGAAGTTATCGAAGACTGTCCGTGGATCGTGACCGCCGAGTTTCTATTGAAGCACAACATCGACTACGTCGCCCACGACGACCTTCCCTACGGCGCAGACGAGGGTGACGATATCTACGGCCCGATCAAGGAGCGAGGCATGTTCCTCGTCACCCAAAGAACCGAGGGTCTCAGCACAACGGGTATCATCACAAAGTAAGCCTACCAACTCAATCCCTCATGCCTATACTAACGAACACACCCCAGAATCGTCCGCGACTACGACCAATACATCGACCGCCAACTCAAACGCGGCACCTCGCGCAAAGAACTCAACGTCTCCTGGCTCAAGAAGAACGAGCTCGACGTCAAGCGCACCATGGCCGAGCTCCGCGACAGCATCAAAGCAAACTGGACAACCACCGGCCAGGAACTCAGCAAAGACTTCCGCCAATTCTGGCAATCGAGTCGCCCTGCATCCCCTGCCCGCACACCCACGCGCGAGCAGTCGCAGGCGGAAACCATGGAAGCAGCCACCGTTGCTCGTTCTCCTTCTGCGATTTCGCGACTCAGTCACCTCGATATTCCGAGGGCGAATAATACGAGGGAGAGTTCCGAGTTTGCGGCTGGGTATAATTTGGGGTTGATTGGTGGTGTGAGGTCTTGGGTACGTTTTATCAATCCTGCATGGTCGCACATACTTGAAGATGTGTGAGGATGGTTTACTAACGAGACATTAGATGGCACGCTCCCGCCGCAACCTAAACGACAGCCGCCCGCAATCCCCCATCGACGACAGCTCCGACGAACAGGAAGCTAGGAGTCCCCAACAACATAAAGGAGAGCAGCAGCAACAGGAAGTCACCCGTGGTCGTACGGGTAAACAGACGAAGAGCGAACCTGCTATGGATACTGCGGCTTAGGATGCTGTGAATCGGTACCTGTATTAGGGCTTTCGAACCGGAGGCAAACGTCTGCCTGAAGCGGTGGTCGGGTCGACGTTTTCTTCTGAACTAGCAAGCAAGCACCACATAGCTTGTGCGACCGACGGATTGTGTATACGTGGCTAGGTGGGAAAGCCGTTGCACGATGAAAAACGTACATTATCATAATACTTATTTTCCTTGTTATGGAATACTGGCTCAGCCTCCTTCTGCCGTTTTGCTCTGCCTTCGTTCGTGCTACAAACTTGGATTCTATTCTTGGACATGTTGGGTATACTAACCATTCGCTGCTGTAGTGATTGATATACTGGAGTGCATGGTATGGGAAGGACTGTAACTGCGCCTACACATACTGCCGATGATGGCGATGAACGGCGAAAGTCGCAATGCCTGCTTTGCTGTCGCTGTCGCTATTGTTGTTGGGGTCAAACGACAATGATTGGAAGGATGGGTTGGGTACGGCAAACGAGTGGTGTGCTGTGCTTGTTACACCAGACAATCGTTGGCTTGTTCTTTCGCGTATCTTTGATTGAAGTGAAGTATTGTGGCAGTGTTGAAAGAAGGTGGATTGCTATGTTCATGTATACATGAAGACATCCAGTATGTACTGTTGAGGAACCAGTCTTGCGTCAGAAGCACTGCTTCGTGGGAAAACTTCATCTTGATTGAATCGATCTTTAGTTCATTTAGTCTCATCTACGCTCGGAGACCAGTACTTCGTGTGGTACAAACGGAAGACGGACGGCGAAGGAGAAGTCATCACGCATAGCACGGTCGATACGGGGTTCTGTACAGAAATCGCATATACCACCACACCATTCACGAGTATTACAGTCTTCACACGCATCGACTGAACAATCCCTTCACCTTCACCAACAACCACCATCAATGTGTATCATAACCTTCACAACTCACCCCCATTGCGCCTGTCCTCCAGCCCCCTCATCCCCATACATCCGCCTGTGTCCCTACGCCCGCTCGCTCAACCCAATTCGAGCGTGTCCCGTAGGCGCGAGGTTGAGTCAGACAATGTGGGTTGAGGGCGAGTGTAGCTGGTGTAGGCAGTGTGGGAGGGAGGGGGTGAGGGAGGAGAGGGTTAGGGTGAGGAGAGAAGGGTATGCGAGGGGGGTTGATCAGTATGGCAAGGGGAGATACGGTAGCTGGGGATCTTGAGAGGGTGCAGTGAGGTGGATTGGATGTTTTGGGGGATGTGATGGGAGATTTGTCAGGCGGGAGGAGTGAGAAGAAATGAGGCGGAGTGGACGAGGGAGATGCGATAGGGCGGGTAGATTCATAGAGGTAGAGGACGGGAGAAGCCTAGGGGTAGTTAGGACGTTAGATACTAGCTGTGGAAAGCTCCCCGAACAAGAGATAGTATAGTACGCGCCGTTGACTCATACCGAGTAGTCTTGTCTCGCACTGATCATTGAAGTGGCAACTTTTGGGAGATGACGAAGGAAGAGTGTGCGCCGTTGACTCAAATCTAGGGCATGATCTTGTTTCGCGCTGGTTGTTGAAGCAGGAAACACCCCAAAGACGCATGAAAGTAGAGTACGCACATCTGATCCAGACCATGGCGTGATCGTATCTCGTGCTCGTCATTGGAGTTGTCCATTGGGGACGGGATGATCGCAATACACCTAGTTTTGAGAAGTTTTGCCAAACTGAAAACTCTTCAAAGATGAGCAAGAACACCGTCACAACGAGGAACATGTCCGTGGATATCCCATGAAAACCCCATGAAGTGGCTTGCTTTGTTGTTTCTAATCACTGAGTTGTCGTAGTGAAGCTGACGCAAGACGACACGTTGTCGCTGTTGAGAAACTTTTCCCTTCGTAATCGCAACGCAACGCGGGGTTTGGGAGGTTTACGTGTCGACGTGACTGGACCGGGATGTAGAGTCGAAGTGAGGCATGATGGCTGTTCGGCACTTTGGGAGTGGTGCCTGACGATGGCGAAATGATCTTCCAGGATACTACAATACCAACGAGCCTTCCCTGCGCTTACGTCGGGACCTGCATCATCAACAAAACACCACATGACGGGCGGAGGACGTCTGCGAACATGTTCAAGACCTTGGACAATCAGAGCGACAACCACTCAGCGTGCGCCGGGCGAGAGGGATAATTAGTCCGATCCAACGAGAGTGCATCGTGTGACATCGCGACTTCCTAAGCGCAGCAGCAGGCGCGGTTCTGCCTCAGAACCACACGGGCGTCTCCAGCCCTACTATATTATAGATAAATGGGGCCCTCCATGCTCCCGTTTTTCTAGATGCTCTTGGTCCCACCCAGGCTCGCTGCACGCGGTATAGATCGCCTCACACCCGCGATGTGATATACGACCAGCGCCTCTCCACACCCAGGGCCCTCCTTACTAGCAGCCCCTCCGTTGTCCGCCCGTCACCAGCCGTCGCTTATCTGTCATACCATGAGAGGCTGCTCTGCTTTTGCCCATCACGATCTGCGACACACGAACCGGACAGGTCTTCTGAACGAGTCGGTCCTTGGGCGCTCGGCAGTTTGTCGGAGCGGCAAGGCTGCTAGATGAAGCGGTTGCGTTTCAGTCGCCTTTGGATCCCGCGCCCGCACGCCAGGACGTCCGACGATCGCACTTGTGGACGACTCATGATGGCATCGAAGGGGCCAGGAACACGACTGACGTCGGTGGGTCGACTGTCTAGAAGCTGGACACGACGTGCGACGCGTCTGCTTGCCATCGCAGTCCATGGATGTGTGCTGCATGCAGCGTCCGGTCAGACTGGGTCAGTCGCGTCGAGGACAGCGACACAGGACTGGGACCGGATTTTCTTTTCATCCCCCCGGATAGCAGCGCGGATGCCAAATGCTCGCCCTACTTTCAATAAGTGAGGCGGCCGTGATGCGCTCCCCGGTGTTGCAGCCAATCACGGGTGGCTGCACGCGGTCTCGGCGTGCTGGGCCTGCACATCTGCTGCATTCTGCTCCCTCACGACATCGTCGGATACCGTGTCTGGCGAGCGAGACAGCGCTACTGCGGCTCCGCGTTTACCGTCTGAGGGCTGTTAATTGCTGTCGCTGCTGACTAGCGGTGTGCAGTCGCCGCTGGGATGACACGCGTTGCAGCTTCACGCCCACCAGACACGCCCGAGGTCCCCTACGGAACGCCCTAACGCCGTCGGTCGTTCTGTGGCGATCGCCTCCCACGTCCCAAAGTATTGGATTGCACATTTAAGATATGGTCAGAGCATAATCCACGACGTAGTCACAGGTCTGTGCCCGTCTTTTAAACAAGAATGCAAGGGCACCCGCTCGCACCTAACCTCAGCCTCCGACCTTGCACAACCACCCACAACGACACAAACGTTGTTTGATTTCCGCAGCGTCACCTTGCAGCACTCGCACGCCCTGTCGCAACTCTACTACTACTCCATCCAGTAGTACCCCTTCCTGTCTGTCTCTCTGTTTTTTTGCTCGTTCCGCGCTGTTGCACTTTGCTTTTGCAGCAAAGTGGTTTTCCTACGAAGCCGTCTCTTCACGCTTCGCATCGTCACTCTTCTGTTTTTGTCATCATCGCGAATGACCACTGTGTCCTGCTTGCTATGAGATAAGCCTCGACTGGCATACAAGAGATCCTATTGATCTGGTATCCAACGAGGGCACATGCAAAAAGGTACGACTTGCTAAGCACGATCCCGCGTCTTCGTGCTTGTCTGACTCGGGAGCTATCTCGTTCGTTCCAGCGGCCACCCGTCGCTGCGTCAAACAGCCTATGAACACGTTTCTGGCTTGTGTCTTACAAACCGCTCTGTCTTGGATAGTTTGTAAGCTAACGAGTGGTAGTTGGCGCTTGTAGCAACCCCATGCGCTTTTCTTGAGCCTTCGCTTCCCCAGGCTTCCTCGTCGCCATTACGCACACTCGCGCGCTCGACACCTTCCCGCTTTCAACCGTCGTCGTACACCCTACCTACGTCATCTTATGAGAACCCGGCCCACCATGCAGCAGAACTGCGGGAGCATCCGTCGGCGGAAGGAGATGCGTTCCCAGCCGACCAAGCCTGTCAACTCAGCTTCCTCTTTCGGACCTGGCTTTGCTTCACGGTCGGCCATGGATGTCGACGACAGAAGCGCTTCCACGTCATGGCACAGCTCTACGACGTGCTTGGATGGACAGATGGAAGAGACTGTGTCAGGACCACGGCATGCGGTTGTCGAGGTTAGATCAAGAGATGGAAGTCCAGCACGAACCTTATCACTTTATCACTCCACCATCCCAGAAGAGCTCGCAGGATATCTACGAGTTATGATGCCTGGAGAGACAGGAGTGGAACAGTCTGGCGAGGAGCTGGCAGAGAACTTCCTCGAAGCATTAGATCTGCCGCCGGTCACCAAACAGTCGTTGAGCGAGCTGGACATTCAGAGCATCATCACCAACATCAAGTTACGGCATGACGTCAACTTCGACAGAGATCTCAGCTTCAGACCGAACGTCGATGGCGTCAAAGGCCAAGAGAAGGAGAGAGTAGCGGACAAGTACTGGGGAGCGTTGATCGCCGAGCTGGTACTATACAACCGCATGTTCCACGGCACACCGCCCCTGTCACCGATCCAAGTCGAAGCTTTCACACCATATGCGCAACGGCGGATACCGATTTTGTTCCAGAACGTCCGCGATGTTCTGAAGAGTCTTGTACCCGATCGCGACCATTCCAGAGTGGACGAGCATCTCGACGTGCCCATGCTGATGCAAGCTATTGAGCGAGGAGTGTGTGATCTGGGTCGCTTGTCGGAGTGGATGGCGCAACTACTCAAGGAGCACTGCGCGCCCATGCGCGACATCCTGGTCGATGAGATGGTCACTTGCACAAGGCTAGGCGAGGCGGACCGCAACCTCGAAAAGATCGTAGAAGGTCTGAGGAAGCTGTTCGGCATTCTGGAGGCCATGAAACTCGTAAGTCGCTTGATGGAAGTGATGTGAGCTTAAGCTAACCCATGTAGGACGTTGCGAACCACCAGATCAGGAATCTGAAGACGCTTCTGATCGAGGACAGCGTCAACTTTGAGAAGCACTACCATCTCGACAGACTTGTCCACGGTAGGGCAAGGGTTAACATCAACACGGCACAGACCTGGTTCACCGACGCCGTTGATGAGTTCGGCCCCCAGTGCTCGCCACGACCCCGAGCTGGCCCATGTTTCGAGCTAGAGGTCTTCACTCGCGCAGTCACAGCAATTACATTCGGCCGAGACGGACGGAGCGACTTCCCCGATACCTTCTTCCTAGACCACGATCGCCTAGCATCGCTCAAGGCTGAAGTCGACGACCTCGTTATGTTCGAAGTCTGCATGGAGATGTACACACAACTCGCCCGACAGCTCGGCTACCAAGGCTCCATGACCCTAGCCATCGGCCAACAACTCCGCACCGCCCTCTCCGCCATCATGGGCGAGGCCGTAGGCCACGGCCCCCACCAATGGATGCTAAACTCCGAAGCCCTCTCCCTAGAAATCCTCCGCCAAGCCTCGCACCTCGCCGGCCAAACCCCCTCCTGCAGTTTCGACCACATGGCCGAAGCCAACCAACACCTCCGCACCCTATTCGTGCGCAGATCTTCCTGGCACGCATCCCGCCTCGAAGCCTCGCTCCTCCCCCAGATTCTCGCCAACGTCGACCGCCACAGCACATCCTCGCCCATCGAACTCTTCAACGCTCTTGTTTCGATATCTCCTTCCATGCCGCCTCTTCCATCATTGTCTCGACCTAACATCGCCGATACGTTTGCTTTTGCGCATTTACATCCTGAGACGGCGAAATTGACGGATCTCGCTAATCGGGTTACACATATTATACTGCTTCATTGGCGTATTTGGGGACCTATTGCTTATGTCCAGGAAGACGGGTCGCAGCGCTCGGCTTCTACGGATGGGAATGCGATGGCGAATCAGGTGTCGCAATCGCAATCGCAGTCGCGACAAGTGGCTTCGAATGCTGAGAAAGATGCTTCCACCGTTCCGACGAGTATGCGGACGGGTGAGAAACTGGATAAGGGGCAGGAGGCGCATGGCTGTCATCAGTCGCTTCCGCAATAACACCCACATTCGCCCACACATACGCATCTCCCCCACATCACATCTACCTCCTTCTTCCCTTGTTCCTTCTTCCTATCATCGGGTTTCCTGGCGTTCAAAAGGCTCCACACTGAACGATCACGGGATATACTACTCGGCGCAAACAAGGTCTTCTCTGCTTTTCTTGTTTCCCCACGATACCACCTTTTTCATGCTCACGGCGCTGCGGCAACACTATACGTTGTAATAGAATGTACTTCGAAAAGACTGTCTGTTGGCTTTCTATTACTTTTAGCGATGGGATGTGGGATGTAGCATTAGCGGAGTGTGATTACAGGTTCTCCATATCAATGAACGTTATATTTGTATGCTGTTGTTTTTGTTGCTGTTGGGTTGGTGCTGTGGTGTGACCACTGTACTGCGGTTGTTAACAAGCTCTGCCGATGTCAGCATCCTGAAATACAGGTCCTGATCCTATGGTGCTACTGAATCCGAACATTCAGGTAATGTCGACTTCCCATGCTGGGCATTGCAATAGCTAATACCTGATAGAAAGAATTGTGAACCTCGCAGCATCGACAACTGTTGAGAGTACGGTCTGTATACATTGGCACCTAAGTATAGCGATGCCCGTAACATGGACTGATGTTCATCTACTGGTGATGCGTCATCGGCTTTGTCGCTTCCTCTTTCCGCAGTGGTGAGAGGCACCTGCTACGTTCGTGGTGGTTAGCGTCGAGCTAGTACCAAAGGAGTGTTTGCTGGATACTTTGTTTGCTGCTCCCACTTTCAGTCTTATTCTACGCAGTCGACTCACCTCAGCATCACGACGGCGGCGACCAGCATCTACAAGCGCAGCATGGCCACCGACGTGAAGGACTCCGCGAGCCTATCCGCGCCCAGCGACGCCAATGAGATGTAAGTAGGCAAGACTCGTGAATGTATCTTTACTAACAACGTTAGCACGCGCAGCAACCAGCTCAACTCGCCTCTCTTGCGTCTTCCGGGAGAGATTCGAAATCGCATCTACGAGTATGTCTTCTTCGGTTCGGAAATGATAGTGAAACACTCACGTCACTTCGACAACGCGCTCCACCAGGACAACAACCCTTTCCACGTACTCGCGGCCTGCCAGCAAATTCGTCACGAAGCTACCTCCATTCTCTGGAATGAATGTATCATTAACGTCACGACCTTCAACTGTATTTCTGATTATGACTATTCTGGTGTGCTGTCAGACTGCACTCGCATAACATCACTGGTTGTGAATTGGCAGTCCGCACATGAGCTACGTCGATCAAAGGTCCTAAAAAGGTTCTCCAAGCTGAGGAAAATTTATGTGCAACTAGAGTCGTGGGGATCTAGCTCGGTGCTGTATATGGATAGCATGCGGCGTACTATCTCCGCGATGGGTCTGCAAGTTGAGCTCAGAAAGGGATGGTATGATGAGGACTTGGGAGTTCTCGTGGCATCGAGCGCTTAGATACCCTACTCAGCGAGGATGATTGCGTAAGCGTTGTGATTCGGCTTGTCATGGCTTTGTTCCAGCTTTCGTGCCCTGGAAACAAGCGACCGGACTCCATCGGAGACTAACGACGCCCGGATCCATCACTGCATACAAAACCAGGGAGAAATTGGAGACGAGTACATAAGCAATCAGTTGATCGCAGCACACGAACGTCAATGGTCATAAGCTCGAAACCCATCATTCTCCATGCAGTGAATGAAAGCAATGTCTCTTAGCGAATGCGCTTGCACTCTTGCATCTGGAGAGGTCTAAATTGCCTTGCATCCTACAACGATAGGCTTTTATACTAATCGCGGTCTGTAGGGCACCTGTTCGGTTTCTTCCGTCCATGAAGTGGACCTCCATCGCAGCAACTCCTCGCCCCGAACCCACGATCTGACCCAGCGCCAAAAATACGGACCCTCTCCTCGGTCCACCTGCTCTCCAACCTCTCGATTCGACCTGGAACGTCAGGTTCCCGTCTCGAGACACGACTAGTGGTCACTAGCCACCATCTAGACCCGGCATCCTGATCGCCGGCGCGGGAGATCGCTCCGCTAGTTTTTCGGTACCATCGCCATGGCGTCGCTGTATGGATACGAAAACGTGTCAGATTACTTACATAGCACGCATAGCTCTCCTTTCTAGCAAGATTTTCGTTGTCTTGGACGGAGCGGCTGCATGTTTCCTCCCGCTACACGTGGGCACGGTGCGAGGATGACGCACCAGACCCTGCAGCGAGTCGAGTTCGCGGCTGTCACAACCGTTTCCGGGCAGGGAAATGTGAGGATGGTAACGGCGCGAAAGAGGAACGGGTGCATCAGCGTGAGTCGAGGGCGTCTGTTGTTATTTGTGATGCTCCACTTCAACTGGGTATGAGCTGGTGCGGTCAATGTCGGCGGGGTCGTATAAAGTAATAGCAGGTTCCTCGAGATGCAGGCACATACTCTTTCTGGGGCTTTGCTGATCATATTCGTCTTGAACCCACAATGGCGGCGCCCGTGAACGATGTCGATCCTTCTGCGAGGCTGATTGCACCAGATGGTCTACCGCTTGCTATCATCGTCATCTCGTCCATCTTCTTCGCCCTTTCTATCGTTACCGTAGCGTTGCGGACTTATATTCGAATCAAGAAAAGGATATTCGGCTTGGAGGATGGGTTCATGGTTGTTGGTACGGTACGTTATCACTACTGGTATTTGACCAGTGCTATACTAACGTAACATCAAAGATCGCATACATTCCTGTTACTGGACTTGCCATCTATGGCTGCCTCGCTGGCCTCGGTAGAATGAACGAAGATCTGAATGCATGGCAGCAGTCGGAAGCCATCAAGTACTACCTCATCTGGATCTTGGTATACGTTGTTGCACTCGCCACTGTCAAATCCTCGGTGTGCATCACGATCAGGCGAATTGCATCGATCAAGAAGCCTATGAGAATCACCGTCTGGGTTCTCCTCGCTGTCACCTGGGCGTCTTTTCTCGTTACCTTTGTTGGAACGCTGGCCTACTGCCAGCCGGTGCGCGCTTTGTGTGAGTAGACCAGATTTACGAGCTATAGGTTCGACAAGGCTGATTGAAACGTGCAGGGACTCCGACGTTGATCATGAGTGGCGACGGAGAATGCGCTTCCGCGGAGACATTCCTCATCATCGCGCACACTGCGACCGTATCAACCATCTTGACCGACATGGCCCTGGTTGTCGTGCCGGCTATCATCCTATGGAACACGCAGATGAAGAGACAATCGAAGCTCCAAGCATTCGGTTTGCTATCATTCGCCTCACTGTAAGCCTTCAATCATTGAAATGGTACGAGCAATCACTAACAACACCAGCGCCTCAATCATCACCATGATACGCATCCCCTTCGTCAACAAATTCGAGTCTCAGACCAACCTCCCCTTCTGGGTCGCCCACATCGTCCTCTGCTCGAACGTCGAAACAGGCATCGGATGCTTCGCCTCCTCCCTTCCAGCTCTGCGCCACTACTTCCAGAACGAACGCGATAACAGCACCGACCCCAACAGCAAGCATCGTGTCGCAACGACCATCACCGCAGGCGGCCGCTCGCGCAGACAAAGAGGAGGAGACAGCTACCACGGCCCTTCGGATCACGGCTTCAGCTTGTCGGCTGTGCATCATGGGCGCGATCAGGATGCTTGGGAGAGGATACACGATGGCGCGTCGGATAAGAGCACGGCGCCGATGAACGATAAGCGGATTTATCATGATAGGACGTATACTGTTGATGTTGAGTCGGCTTGATAGGAAGTGCTTTTAGCTTTTGAGGGTATAGTCAGCCCTTGGATGCGCCGCCATAATATCTGATAAGAACTTGTCTAAGGCATTTCCTGCGCTTTTTCGCTCAGTCACCTAGTCAAGGTAAACAATTTCAGCGTCCCTCCCAAAGGTGTCCTTCACGGCCTCATTCAATTCATCATTTCTATGGTTTCGAGAATACCCCCATGCCATTATGACCTTCTGTACCTTGGTAAAAGCCCCTTTATGACCACGCAAGCATACGTGAAGATCCCAAGCAATGCCATAACTGATGTGGACAATCTCTATCTGATCGCGTAGATCTTTGCTCTTATCGTGTACAAAAGTGCTGATACGGTCGTGTATTAGGTTAAAAACAGTGTGTTTCCAGAAGTAAGGAAGGGCTTCATGACGACACTGAGTGCAGCTCTGCGCTAAGCTCATTGGGTAAGGCGAGCCGAGAGGGACTCGACGGTCGTGGCGGCGATGAACGAGGTATATCTCATTATCATCGAAAGTATAGAGATATATTCTGTTTCGTAGCTCGGCCGGAAGGCGCAGGAGGGGCGAGGTGCGCTGGTTTGCAGCGGTGCTATTGCAATGTCAGTTCGAAGTCGACACTTCATTGTCGCTGTCTCTTACATGCTGTCGAGATCCATTCTCACTCGACGGATTTGAGCTTGCGCAGCGACGGTTCAGTCAAAGTATGTATTTTTTGTGACTGGAGTGGGAGAGAGAAAGAGATTGTCAAGTGTGGCTGGAGGGTTGCTATGGTACAAGGTCGAGCTAGTGCACGTGGCTATCTCGCTTGCCCTCCGCATTCACTCCGCTATTTCGGGTTGTGGTACCCCGCTAAGCCATCCAAGACAGAGACAAGCTACCATGTCTGCCTGATTAGAAGAGCGCGAAGGCGATGTGTACCCCAACCATCACCCACATATAGCTCTATTCCGTCGAACCAAAAGTGACCTCCACGTCGCGACCCATCACCTCCTTGATCTTTTCCGCTACCCCGTTATAGTAGGTCGGACGCAATTCCATTTGAACGTTCCAGTATTTCAGCCCGGATAGACAGCCTGCGCACCTTTCGAAGTCGATGCTCTCCGGAACATCTCCGGCTGCGTCTCGAAGCCTTGTGATCGCCATTGTTCTCGTCGTTACGGCCCCTAAACGCAAAGACTTAACCATCGCGAGTAGTTCTGGTCTGACTCTAGCAATTATGGGTCTGATATCACCGATACGCGTGAGCGA